TATGAGTCTTGTCAGCGCATCCAAGGCAATATGTTTCGTAGTCCTTCTCGCTCATGGCGCTGCTGCTGCTGCTGCTGCATGTGACCCGTTGCCTTCTCTCACGGCGCTCTGCGATGAGATCAGTCAGGCATGCTCACTACCAGCGAAGATGGGTTCGTGTACTGGCGTCAGCCAGCCCCCCAGAGGTTCGCCAAGAGCGATACATTCTCTACATGAAAAAGTGTCTCGGCCAGGTCGGGACGACGAAGTGGAGTCACGCCTACTCATAGGCCTAAGCTCAGCCACAGAAGAAAACCCAATTCCCAAACCTTCACTCTCACTTGTCGCCTCTCGCACCGCTCTACGAGCTTTCTCCCTGATCCTTTGTACACGGTCTGCCTTGGCCCTCAGGGCCTTGACACCTGTAGCCTTGGAATACGCCCATCTAGGGCCTATCTTCACAAGTTCCCAAGCGCCTACTACGAAAAGGAGCAGTAGGAATCCTACAATGACCCCACTATAGTCTACACTCATAAGTACCCTACTTTCTTCCTCTTCTTCATCCACTTCCGGCACCACTTCTAGGTTCCCTCTCCAACCTGAGCTTGAAGAGCCGCCAAACCAAGCCATAGGCCTGTGGTACAAGCCCGCATCGCGCTTGATGACACTGCTGCTCCTCGCTCCTTGTTCCTTTGCTTCCTGGCCTCCTCTAGGTCAGGGTCAAGGCGGAAGCCCAGATGGGATAAAAACTCAACACTTTCACATGTCAATTTCTCCGGATTTCTGGGGACATACCCAACCAAAACAATCCTCAAACCCAAAAAGGGTTCAACTCCATGAGGTTGAGATGCATCAAACTGAACAACACCGTTCTGAGGACTCAACAGCATGCCAGCCCTCGGCCCCTTGTTGGTAACCCGGATCACGTCACCATCCGGGTACTCAGCCCAAACTTGGCCACCAACAAAGTCACTCAATGCCACCAAGACATTTCGCACTTCACGTTTGTTGTGAGCATCAACATGGATGCCCACTGCTGCATTACGTGTCACTTGAATCGAATGAAAACTCTGGAGCAGCAGAGGAAGGATTGGTTGATTCCGTGTTGAAAACCATACTCGTGGCTCGTGGTGCAGCGGTGTACCTGGGACGTGTTTGGGCATTCTTGTGCCAGCCATTTGACCCCTTTATGTGTTTCGATTTGACCCCTTACCCCTTCGAAGGGTCTGTGTTTCAGCACTTCTTGTTTCGCAGTGGTGCCTCAGCAAAGCTTCGGCTTGGCCCGGCAGTTTTCGTTTGCGAAAACCAAACGTGTGCGGCGCAGCAAAAGAGCGGCTGCTGGGTTGCAGTTGCCCTCAGGTCTTCGAATTAATTCCCAAATGGGTCTGTTCTAAATTTTTCATCCTTTTGCTAGCCCCCAGCAGTCCTAGCAAACCCGGCCCGGCGACACGAACATCAGACTGGCCGGATACCCAGCTTGCCCCACAGCAGGGACAGTGTCATTCAGAACCCAAGCCTGATCCCGAAACGCCAAAGCCATACTTGAGGTTCAACTTCTCTGAACTCCGAATTCCTTAAACCGTACACTGCCACACTCGCGCAAGGGTGTTGCTTGTCTCCTGGAGAAGCTCTGTAGCAGAATTCAGGCCCTTTAGAACTTTAGGCTTTAAGGCTTTGAGTTGTAGTAGAGGGCTTGAGGCATTTGCGATTGGCTTTTTCTTTTTGGATGGGAGAGGTTGGCAAATTGGATTTCTGACCGCATCCGAAATCCTCCGTCCCTTGAGACTCGGATTACTCAACTGCGCTGGCAGCATCCGGCCGCCTGAAGTTATTGTGCATATGTACCTGGGGTACAGGGTTGAGACTTGTCAGTATCGATTTGTCAGAGGCTGGTTTGGGAGGCTCCTTTGTAGGAGCGCCCGCCCGAGATGACAGCGCGGCTTGCGGCCGGATTATAGTTGTGTGGATCCCTGTTGGAGTTCCCGGTACTTTCGGATGCCACACCACCAGGGGCTGAGGCCCGGAACCAACTTCTTGGATCCGCAGGATCTGACGAAGATGCTGGACAAGGAGGACGTCGACTAGCCCCTCAGACCCTAACCATTTTATTGTGGCTACCCTGTGCAAAGCATTCGAGATTTTAGGAGATCCTGGAAAAGAGAGCGCTCCAGGACTTCGTGAATATCATGCAGTCTTTCCTGACGAAAGAGGTGCCTGTCGAAAAACCCGGGGGAGGTCTGTGGTGCTTGAACCCGGGCGTGTCAAAGAGATCTTCTTTTCCCGTGCCGTTGTGCCCTTTTGGATCCCTTGCCTGAAAAGCCCGAAAGCTGCTTGGAGCCTAGAGTCCTCCAAGAAGCCAATGCATGAAAGGCGCCAGGAAAGGCCTGTGCCTCGTCCTCCCAAAGCCTTACGCCCAGAGACGGAGATCCTAAACACGAGATGAAACTACTGTCTTGAACCTGATAAGTCAGTAGCCTATCCCTTACCTTGATGGGTGGGCCCTTTCGACGACGCTCCGAAAAACCTCCTGGTTTTCAGAAGGAGCTGGAGAAAGTGTCCCGATGTCCTGCACCCAGAGAAACCCCAACCATCATCTTTAGAGCTGATTCAAGTGCCGAGATTAGGGTGCTTTCGCCCGCGACTCCGTCGCTTCCGCAAAGCCCTGGCGTGCGCCTGCAGTCCATGGGGAACATCAGAAGCGCCTCGCTGCCTTTAAACGTTCAAGGCCAAAGAGTTGCTTGTGCCGGCTCAGCTCCCGGTTTTTTTGCACACGCGGCTTTTTTTCGGTATCAAGCATAGACGCTTTGTGGACGCTTTAAAGCAGTTTCTTCGCCCTTTTAGCCATGGCACCCTCCGGGCCCTCAGCCTTCTCCCACACAGGGGCTCGGTTGGCAGTGCTTGCTCTGGGAGCCGCCTTTTGCGGCCTGCAAACACAGGTACCTTTCTACAGAGTTTGAGAGAGCAAGGTGTTTGAATGCTTTCACATTTCGTTCAGGCTCGGCCGGTTCCGGTTCGGCGAGCTTCCGCGGACACTGACGGAGCGGCGTCCCAGCGTTGCCGTCCTTCAGGGTAGGCGCTGGCTGGTCGCGCGCAGGAGACCCCGCGTTCTTCCAGGAAGGAGATTTGGTCCGCGTGGAGAGTGGCGCAGTGGACGAGGCTTGAAGGGGCTGTCTATCGCGTTGGGGACGGGTTTTTGCAGAGAAGGAGAAGGAGCTAAGGAGCCTGCAGTTTGAGAGACTTCCTCTGTCGGCTCAGAACCAGGTAGCGGTGGCCTTGGTGGTGGCGCGTCAGTGACATTTCTGCTTCGTCCAGCCCCTGGAGCAGACCGGGGAGGGCTCGCGCCGGGGCCCGAGAGCTGGAGCGAAAACTTCGCCTGGCAGAAAAGTTTTTCTACCTGACAGGCTGGATCACATCGGAGGATGCCGAGCTGCTGCAGGCGCAGGATTCCGCGATGACACTTCGCCTCTTTCGCATCTGCCCGAGGTGCCATCCGAAGACCTCCGGCGCTGTGCTGCAGAACCTTGCGAGGCCTCAGGCAGGCGCTTTGTCTGCCTTCATCCGGAGAAGAAGTGCTCCGCAGGACCCGCATGGCGACGGCGAGGGCGGCTGGCGGCTTCTCTCTCCGGAGGCTTAGTTTCCGTATGGCTCGGAGCGGATGACGGGAGATCCGGGCCGTGGCCCATGGCCCGGAAAGAACGGAAAGCTCTGGGAGGAAATGTCTGCAGATGCGAGGGGAGGCAAAGGCCCAAAGCTTGGCCTCGGTTTCGGCTCGGATGCCACTAAATGCCGAGTCGGCCACGACGAAAGAGATGCTATGCGTGAAAGCGTGGAAGCGAGGAGCTGCCCTTCTGGTGATGTGTGTGTGTGTGTGTGCTGATGACAGGACAAGTGTCACATGTTGTGAGGGTCCCCAAATGCTTTCAGAGGGGTGCTGAGCATGCTCAAGCGTTGCAGCTGCATGCTCAAGTTCAGCACCATCACCATCACCATCATCATTCATCGTCATCATCACCACCACCATCACCACCATCAGCACCTGCATGATACGCTGCATGAGCTCATAAGTGCTAGTTGTTGTCTTGGCGTTGTCATCATGTCCGACAGCATCACCACCAACTTGGTCAGCAACATCATTGACATCATCACCATGATCATCGTCATCGTCATCGTCGTCATGGTCATCGTCACCACCATCCTCACCAATGGAGCATAGCCATGCAGAATCATTTGGAACCCGTCCCATCTTTTGCCTGTTTTTTCAAGCCGAATCGACAGCAAAAGGTGAACTGGCTTTGAACATGACCAGGTGTGAGCTTCGCAATTTCGTTACAGCATCTGACTTTGCCCACGAGGCCTTAAGAGCAAGCACAAACATGAGAGCTTCATGCCAGCCTTTGGATTGGATGAGACATGTTTGAGGGCTTGCGAGACGAGAGCACATCACATCACATCCACGAATATCGTGATTCGCGTCGGGGACTCTGGAACCAAGTACGGCAGCCGCACAAAACACCCAGCCGCAGCCGCACTCTGCACCGCGCCATGTGGCAAGCCTTCTGGGGCGAGGAGGCAGGTTTCAAATTCCCTTCCAGCAAGTACAAAACGACAGGTCCTGTGCTCTCTCCGGCCGTTTTGTGGTGTCACTGTTCGCAGCTCTGCCCGAAGGCGACAGAGCCCAGGGACCCCGTGACGGAGGGGCTCATCAGGGCCGCACTGACCTCGGACCTTCGGAACGGTGACGGCTGAAAGCGAGAACCTTCGGCCACAAGGCATCGCAAGCCGTGAAGGAGGAGCTGCGTCAGGAGACTGACAGATGCAGTTGCTGATGTTGAGAGCCGGTACTGAGAGCGAGGAGTAGTGACTGACAGGAATGGCACAGCTTTCGTGCAGACCTCCTTCGCGATGTGACGCACCTCATCCGTACTGAACTCGCCAAGGCTTGCGTCCCTTGCGACGTGCCCTGCAGAGTTTATGTTTCACGTCAGGGCTGGCGCTGAGGGCTGTAACGCTGTAACTCATGACAGGACGTGCCAAGCACTCCGCGGCGCAGCAAAACACAGGAGCAGTGCCAAGGGTGAAACATGTCCCTGCTCCTGCCGTTGGCCAGGACGAGGATGCGGAAACTCCCGAGAAGTTGGTGGCGACCTCTTCCGGCATCCACTTGGTTCCGGAGCTTTTGCGCGGGAGCTTTTGTGCGGTTGCTTTCGGTCTCGTAGCCATGAGGCCAAACCTGTTGCAAGCCTGGCCTCAGACTTACTCGAAGCCCGCGAAAGCGCATGGTGCGTATGCACTCTATCAATACCGAGGCCGCAAGTGTGAATGCCGACAACGTGGATATTGTCAACCCGGCCTTTGTCTCAGAGTGGCTTCAGGGCATGTTGTTGCACATGGGGGTAACTGCGCCTACTTTTCGGCGTGCTTTTGCGACTGGGGGGTTGGGGGGTTGGGGGGGCGGGATAATAACGTTCTTCGATTTAGGTTCTTTGTTTCATGTTCTTTGTTTCAGCACTGTTTAAGGATCTACTTTGCTAGTCCGTGCTCATGTTGGTGCTGTCATGAATGCATGCTGCTGCCTGGACCTGCATGATGTTTAAATGAAAAATACTGTCAAACCATGAGCAAATTCATATTGCTGGACAACGACTTTTCAATAATCCTTGTGAAATCTGCATCGGATCAACTTCGTCAGATGTGCCAATCGCCGTTTATTGCATCGGATGAACTTGCTCAGATGGGAAATACTGTGAAACCATGAGCAAATTCATATTGCTG